CAACAACAACAACAAAAGAATCTGTCTGTTATAGAGCCCTTGACTTGCTCTCTGCTCTGTCTTTGTGATAAAAGACACACTGTGCGCAGAGAACACTCCTGGACAGCCCTACCCATGATGGGTTATGCCGCCCTTGGCTCTTGGTTAAACCAGAAATGTTCCCTCTGGTTATGCTGGCTGGCTAGCTTTTCTTTAGCCGAGAACGCCCTTGGCCAGCCAGTTACATAGGAGCAGAGAGAATTGTGGCTACTCTGGACTCCGAACACCACCACAGTGGTTGTGTTCTTCGACACTGAGAATTAGGGGTTACCTTCTGCCACCTCCCAGCCTCTGTGGAAAGGATAATTGTGTCCCTGAATTCAGCATCAGGCATGATACAGTAGTGGCCAAAATTGCGGAAACCTTTTGGGAAAAGTGTATTTTTGAGGTTTGATGGCTAATAACACCACTTTTTTTTTTGGAGTAGTACCCTAAAATTATATATCAATGGAAAGATAATTTAATCAAGAATGTAACGCAACAAAATCTGTTCAATTATCTGTACTGTGTTCTGTGAAAAGTTGTAGCCAAATAACCAGAAAAAGGAAGCACAACTTGCTTAGGTTGATCTCAGGTAGGTTTCCTTCATCTGATGGTAGCCAATGACCATGAGTGTTTAGAGAGCCAATCGGGTGTCATCTTGTTTTGGCAATGAGCCAATCAGATCACAGTAGGAGTCAGTTATTGATGTCCTGTATTGAAGCTGAGAGGAGGACATTGGTCAGTGTGTTATGCGATTGCTGTCAAGTTGGCTGGGGTTTTTTTTTGTGTTCTTTCCTTTAGTGAGCTTGCAAAACCTAATAAAATTAAAGTCATGGTGCAAAGAGTTAACTGGTTGCCCAGAAAGCGATGCAAAATAGTATTTATTAAGTGAACAAGGCTACAGTTATAAAGAAATTAGAAGAAAAATGGGTGGAAACTTAACCAAAGGTGGCATTTCTACTGTACACTTTTCCCAAAAGGTTTCCACAATTATATTTGGCCAAGGGCTAATACCAAACTGCAAATACCTTTGGGCAGCTTCCTTTGATTGCCACATCTTTACCAGGAAGTCTCTTCCCTCTGGCTCTACTAGATCACTACCTGATCTAACCCGTCATCTCTTTTTAAAATGGTTGTTTAGTTTTTTGAGTTGCACTGCAGCTGCTGGGACCGTTCTGGACATTGAAACCGAAAGTGTCCTGTTACTGCTTTGCAACAGCTATTTAGTTGGTTCAGTTTTGCTAATGAAAGTGCAACTCGGAGAGGTTAGCCCTGCTCCCAGGTGCTCGTCCCATTTCATCTGACAGAAGTGCTCCTTCCCCCCCTCCACCTCCAAGATCACTTCCTCTATTTAGTGGCAGGCCGTAGTCGGCTGGCAGNCCACTTGCATCTAGATGGCAATTTCAACCAAGAATCAAGGGTTGGTCATTCGAGGGCACCCTTTTCCCAGACTGGTAACAGGCCCGGTTGCGTCTTTATGCCAGTCATTCCGCGCCACTTTCATGCCAAGAGACCAGGCAGTTCTCCCAAAATGTGTTGCAGCTGCTTCCCTTTCCCAAGAAGAGATCTTCTGCCTCTTCTCATCATTTTGGCTGGTGACCAGTGCCTCCCTTCTTTCCAACAAGACTCATGAGCAGTGGGCGCCGTTAGGAGAGGGAGAGAATCTCCCAGCCCTGCAGAACAGCTCAGCCAGCCAGCTGGTGGAATAGGAATTGCTCCAAGCTGGAGTAGTTCCTTCTGCTCTCCCAGCAGGACACTGGGATCGGTCCCGCCTCTCAGCTCACCTTCCTTCGTAGGATTTTCCCAGAGATTAAAAACATCTACAATATGTGCCCATATATTAAATTAAAATTAAATTAAAATTAAAAGACGCTTGCTCCTGGGGAGGAAAGCTATGGCAAATCTAGAATTGGGTATTTGGGTAATTGGGTATCCAGAGAGCTTCAGTGTTGTGGCTGGAAAGATCATCTTTTGCACAATTCTAGAGAAAACCAAGATCACCGCAGATGGGGACTGCAGACAAGAAATTAAAAGACGCTTGCTCCTGGGGAGGAAAGCTATGGCAAATCTAGACAGCATACTAAAAAGCAGAGACATCACCCTGCCAACAAAAGTACATATAGTCAAGGCCAGGGTTTTCCCAGTTGCAATGTATGGCTGTGAAAGTTGGACCATAAGAAAGGCTGAGGGCCAAAGAATGGAGGCCTTTGAACTATGGTGCTGGAGAAGACTCCTGCGAGTCCCCTGGACTGCAAGGCGATCAAACCGGTCAGTCCTGGAGGAGATCAACCCCGACTGCTCTTTAGAAGGCCAGATCCTGAAGTTGAAACTCAAGGACTTTGGCCACCTAATGAGAAGGAAGGACTCCCTGGAGAAGAGCCTAATGCTGGGAGAGATTGAGGGCAATAGAAGAAGGGGACGACAGAGAATGAGGTGGCTGGATGGAATCACTGAAGCAGTAGGCGGGAGCTTAAATGGACTCCAGAAGATGGTAGACGACAGGAAGGCCTGGAGGAATGTTGTCCATGGGGTCACGATGGGTCGGACACGACTTCCCAACTAACAACAACAATGTGCCCATTGTGTGAAAAGCTGTAAAAAGAGTTGGACCGCTGCCAGAGGTCTGTAAGAGGAATGGGTAGTGGGAATCAGCTAGGGAAGTCATCTCCGGCCAACAGATGGAACAGCCACCATCGGAGGGCAGCAGCCACTCTTCAACCCCAAAAGATTAAACTCCCCCCCCCCCCGCCTAAGATAATCCAAAAGTCACTAATCTGGATGTTTGAGCTGGCATTCTTAGGTCTTTTGCTTTGATACCCTCTCCAGGAACCCACAAGCTGCAACTGAGTTTGGGGACCCGGTAAAATTTACGTTTCGATTAGTAAACCCAAGTGAGACTTAAGGCGATTTGGCACAAAGGAATACACAAAGTATTGCTCTCTTCCCCCCGTCCCCCAACTTGCAAAATTGCCACTATCCAGATTGAGAACGGCCGGATTCAGTAACCTCAAGCGCTGTGTTGTCATTACAGGAAACCCACCCCCCCAATTCTGTGTTTAGGACTCCCCCTTGACCGTGGATCTGTCTGGGTGACATAATAATAATAATAATAATAATAATAATAATAATAATAATAATAATAATAATAATAATAATAATAGTGGTGGTGGTGGTGGTGGTGGTGGTGGTGGTGGTGGTGGTGGTGGTGGTGGTGGTGGTGGTGGTGGTGGTGGTGGTGATGATGATGATGATGATGATGATGATAACAACAACAATAATAATAAAGTTGGAAGGTACATTGGAGGTCATCTAGTCCAAATCCTATACCATTTCGGACAAATGGCTGTCCAGTCTCTTCTTAAAAACCTCCAGTGTTGGAGCATTCACCGCTTCTGGAGGCAGGTTGTTCCACTGGTTAATTGTTCTAACTGTCAGGAAGTTTCTCCTTAGTTCGTTCATTCGTTCTTTCTTTCTTTCTTTCTTTCTTTCTTTCTTTCTTTCTTTCTTTCTTTCTTCCCTCCCTCCCTCCCTCCCTCCCTCCCTTTTTTCTTTCTTTCTTTCTTTCTTTCTTTCTTTCTTTCTTTCTTTCTTTCTTTCTTTCTTTCTTTCTTTCTTTCTTTCTTTCTTCCTTTCTTATAATACTAATAAAGTTGGAAGAGACCTTGGAGGTCATCTAGTCCAACCCCCTGCTCAGGCAGGAAACCCTATACCATTTCAGACAAATGGCTGTCCAGTCTCTTCTTAAAAATTTCCAGTGTTGGGGCATTCACCGCTCCTGGAGGCAGGTTGTTCCACTGGTTAATTGTTCTGTCAGGAAGTTTCTCCTTAGTTCTAGGTTGCTTCTCTCCTTGATTAGTTTCCATCCATTGCTTCTTGTCCTGCCTTCAGGCGCTTTGGAGAATAGCTGGACTCCCTCTTCTTTGGGGCAGCCCCTGAGATACTGGAACCCTGCTATCATGTCCCCCCTCATCCTTCTCTTCGTTAAACTAGACATACCCAATTCCAGCAGCCTTTCCTTATATGTTTATATGTTTTAAGCAGGTTGCTTTCTCCTAGCACACCTTCCCTCCTAGGAGAATAAAAAGAGGGCTCTCCTTACCTTGAACTCCTCAAAGCAAGAACAATGGGTGAACAACAGAGAAGGCCCGGTTGGGCGGCAGCATCAGGTTGACCTTGGCTGAGCTGGAGAACTAATCAGGATTAGAGCTGATTAAAACTGGATGGTAGATGAGCAGATGTCAGACTGCAGGCCAGACTGGGAATCCCAAAGTGCCCCACCCCATCTAGGCCAGCTCCATACTCTTTGTCTAGTGACCTCCGGGGCACGACCTTGGCATCTCCAGGAATTGAACCTGACAGGAAGGTAACTTCCTTTTTACCTGGACGAATGAATTAGAAAGAATCCAGGAGGTGCATTTATTTTCCTCCGAATAAACGCAAAGAAAAGCATAATTAATTCAACAGTTTTCCTGTTTCCAAGGTTCTAGATCAGGGGTGGACAACCTTGGCTCTTTTATGACTCGTGGACTTCAACTCCCAGAATCCCTGAGCCAGCATGGGGGAACTATGGCCCCCTCATAACTCGTGGACTTCAACTCCCAGAATTCCTGAGCCAGCATGGGGGAACTATGGCCCCCTCATGACTCGTGGACTTCAACTCCCAGAATCCCTGAGCCAGCATGGCTCAGCTCGGAAACCTCTCCCTTTCCCCTCAGCATGGCTGGCTCAGGAATTCTGGGAGTTGAAGTCCACGAGTCATAAACAAGCCAAGGTGGCCTACCCCGGTTCTAGATCAACAGAATTTATTTTAAACTGTGTGAGCAAAACGTATTTGTGTGAGAAAAGATCTCTGACTGAAATGTAAACGTTGGCAATATCAATGCGGTTTTGGGGTATCCTGACTTGGTGCTGAGTGTGGTCCAGCTCAAATTTAGGAAAAGGTGATGCCCACTCTTAACCAGCCACATTTTGCCTCCTAGCTAAGACGAGAGAAGATTGATCTGGAAAACACCCTAGAACAAGAACAGGAAGCTCTTGTGAACCGTCTCTGGAAGAGGATGGACAAACTTGAAGCCGAAAAAAGGTGGGCTTTCTTCTTTGCTCCTCCCAACCATTCACCCCATTTTTTTTCGGCGGGAGAAAGAGGCAGATTTTACAGCTTTTCCTTAAAATGTAGCTGTTTCAAGGGGCAATAAAACAACAGGAAGAAGAAGAAGAAGAGAACAGTAAAAACTGTGTTACGTCACAAGAGTAATATAACATGGCATTTAAGAGGGATTCACTAAAAAGGGTCCTTTCTGTTCCTTTACTAGGCTTTGCTTTATGCCTCTCGTATTAAATATTAGCCGTTGCTGTTTATAAATCTTTGTGCCGAATCCCGATTTTTGTCAGAAATAACATTCCACAGCCTTCAGAAAATTTCACGGAAGCAGCAGCCCTTGAAGGATCCACAAACACATGGATGAAGATGCTAGCCCAGGGGTAGGCCACCTTGGCTCTTTTATGACTCGTGGACTTCAACTCCCAGAATTCCTGAGCCGGCATGGCTCAGCTTGGAAACCTCTCCCTTTCCCCTCAGCATGGCTGGCTCAGGAATTCTGGGAGTTGAAGTCCACCAGTCATAAAAGAGCCCAAGGTGGCCTACCCCTGGGCTAGACAGAAATTTCACCCAAGAAAATGAACTGCACCATTGTTCCTCAGTTCAGCTAGTCCCATGGGGAGAAAAAAAAGACATGTTGCCAGCATATTCTGTCCTAACCCTGAAAGGGACCTTTCCAATCTCAGACCAGGCTATTCCAAGTCTTCTGGAACGGGTCCAACTTTAAAATGGGTCCAGTTTTGAGGTCAAACCACTTCAGAATGATCCTCTTTCAGTGTTGGGTCACTTCTCACAATTGCTTAACGTTCTGTGCACCTTGCTGGACAGTCCCTTTGGCTTGTCCCTGACTTCATTCGCCTTTTCTTGTTCTTCCATTAGAATGAAAGCTATATTAGATAATAGAAAAAATGCTTTACTGTATCAAACTAAACATTCCTCTAGTTCAGGGGTAGGCAACCTTGGCTCTTCTTTTAGGACTCGTGGACTTCAACTCCTAGAATTCCTGAGCCAGCCATGCTGAGGGGGCAGGGAGAGGTTTCCAAGCTGAGCGACATCATCACAGGGTCTGCGAAGGCTTGAAGAAATATTGTGATTTAAACCTTGAGATACGTTTTGGGGTCCGTGGCCATGATCTTAGCCCAGGGGTAGGCAACCTTAGCTCTTTTATGACTCGTGGACTTCAACTCCCAGAATTCCTGAGCCGGCATGGCTCAGCTTGGAAACCTCTCCCTTTCCCCTCAGCATGGCTGGCTCAGGAATTCTGGGAGTTGAAGTCCACAAGTCATAAAAGAGCCAAGGTGGCCTACCCCTGTTCTAGCCAATGAAAGGTTGGGCATCACTGTGATCCTTTGTTCTATCGGCCATTTTTTTAAAAAAATTTGTAAACATGTAAAAAATTAAATTGGTGCCAAGAATATTCCTTCCGAGACTGAGGCAATCTTGTTCAGAGAAAAGGAAGCAAAAATGGATCTCGTGCTTGGGGAACCGTGGGTGGGAATCCCTGCCTCCTTCCTCACCCTGGACACACAGAGTAAGGTGCCCCCTTGCCTGGCCTATTAATCAGAAATCTGGAGCAACCAGGCTTGGCCCTAGCCCCGACTCTTCCCATTCTCTTCATGTAGGTTTATTGATCCCCAGGCATGTGACAAGGGGTCGCCCGAATTCCAGATGTGCGGCAAATAATGCTTTATCCGTAGTTTCTACTTGTGAGATTTGATTTCTTCAGCACGGGTCACGCTCACCTTTCTTTGCCAAAAAGAGAAAATTGCCTCATCTTGATTTCTGTTCGTAGATTCCAAAGAAATGAAGCCCAGAGTGCCAATATAAATATATATTTTTTTTAATTTCAGAATTCTCCAGGAGAAACTGGACCAGCCCGTGTCTGCTCCTCCGTCGCCAAGGGACATATCAATGGAAATAGACTCTCCAGAAAACATGATGCGCCATATCAGGTTCCTGAAGAACGAGGTGGAGAGGTTAAAAAAACAGCTCCGAGCAGCACAGCTACAGCGTAAGTCCTGGCTTGTTATCTGGCTGCGCTGCTTCCTGTGTCATGTCAAAACTATCCCTGATCCAGACTGGGGGAATTTCCAGGCCATGTTCAGAAGGGGAATGTTGGTTTGTAGGTAGCAGGGCTGTCCGTACCGCAACCTAGATTTTCCTTGGTGCTCTCTGAGCTTGTTTGTTTTCTTGCAGACGTTTCATTCCCCCAAACTCAGTAACCTCATCAGCTCTGATGTTGGTTAGGTCACGAAATGTGTGCAAGAAAACAACCAAGCTCAGAGAGCACCAAGGACCCCCCCCCCCAGTCCAAACTTGTGCTACAAATATTCCCCTTTATCGGTACTACATTTTTCCCTCCAGTAGGATGAGTACAAGTTTCAGGTCACTTTATCTTGCTTCAGTTCACCATAAAACAGTGTTTCTCAACCTTGACAATTTTAAGGCATGTGGACTTCAACTCCCAGAATTCCACAGCCAGCATTGCTGGCTGTGGAATTCTGGGAGTTGAAGTCCACATGCCTTAAAATTGTCAAGGTTGAGAAACACTGCCATAAAATGATTAGGTGTGGTTTTACAATTCTCCAGTCCCTTTGCGAAAGGAGTTGTGTTTACAGTACTAAATATACATTTTGGGGGCAGGAGAAGAACCTTGACTGTGTTTAGCTCATCGATTTGAATCGGCGGCTGTTTGGACAAGGTCTTTTCAAAAGGTGTGAAAATGCCCACAGTCTGTTTTGTATATTATTCTTTTTTTGGGGAAGCAACATCAGTGGCTCCAGAGCAGGGGTGTCAAACTCAGTTTCATTGAGGGCCGCATCAGCATTGCGATTGCTCTCGGTGTGTGTGTGTGTGTGTGTGGCCAGGGTGGGTGCGGCCTACTGGGTGGGTGTGGATGGAGTGGGTGTGACCTACTGGGTGGGCATGGCCAGCTCTACATCGTTCGCGTCAAGGGTGCCTGTGGGGGGCTGGACAGGAGTGGGACAGATCTGAGGGTCTCTGGCAGAAGGGGGTGGGACCGGGGCAAGCGCCAAGGCATGGTCCATTTCTTCATTCCTCACAAAGGGTGACACCTCCCCAGCATGCACCCAGGGGGCAGGGACGACATGGCAGGGGCTGGTTCCTTGCTGTTTCTAGACAGCCTTGTGGAGCTAAGACTGAATGCATTTCAGCATAGATGGCCACCACAAAATTTTACATTGGATCCCGGCTGGCCGGCCTGGGCCAGGGCCAAGGCAGTGGGGGCCATTCCCTCACTGTTTCCAGGATGGCTTGGCGGGCCACATGAAACCACTTTGCGGGCTGCATCCGGCCCCCGGGCCTTGTGTTTGACATGTGTGCTCTAGAGACAAGACTTTAGCTGCTAATGCCTTGGTATTATCTAAGAGCATTATGCCACCCTCTGGACACACAGAATGCACGGTCCTTTTGCACGAAGGGGCCTGTTGTGCAAAGACATTGACAATGAAGGCCACAAAGGAGAGACCTTCTCCAAGGAACAACAGAAGCCAGGCATAAAACACCGGAGAAGGCTCCGTAGCGAGAGATTAAAGAGATTTACCAGAAGTTTATCCTCTTTTCCTCCTTATCTCCAAGCGGGTGCCCGGCGGCAGTGCTGAGATTTGATCAGTCCAGAAGGGCCCTAAACATCTAGAGGAAATCTAGATGTTTAGTGGCCATCAATGTCCTTTGAGGAGGGAAACGAAGCAAACATATGTTTTTAGGCCGAGTCCTTGTTGTCGAGGCTTGCAAAATTAGTGCTGTCACTGCAAAGGAGATCAGGGGCTGTAATCTTGGTGTCCTTGCCTGTCCCTTCAGAGACGTGGCCTGGGCTTGCTGTCCTTGGACATAGGTGTGACAGACGTCTAGGAATCAGGGCGGCCGATGTGCAAACGTTAGCCTGGAGCATTAGAATTCAAAAGCCTCTCGTGGGCCTCTCCCCTTATCTTTTGTCTGCCCCGCAGTTGTCCTTGGAGGCCTGGTGGGTGACTGCAGCAACAGGGACGTGACCCAGGACAATTTATGACTTTCTGGGCCTCCCTCAGGCTACGACACTCTGGGTTATCTCTAATCCCTGTCCCCAGTTTTTCTGTTTAGGCCAAAACTCTAGGATAGGGGTGGGAAACTTCGGCGACTTTACCGACCTGTGGACTTCAAGCGCCCAGAATTCCCGAGTCTTCTCCCCCGCCCCATACTTAGGAAAGTTTTGGGACCATTTATATCGTCATTTCTGCCCTCACAACAGAGACAAGTTGTCCCAGGGGTAGATGTTCTTCCCAACTCAAGGCTTACTGCTGGAAACTCGGTAATTTTGGTGTGTTACTCCTTCGGGACAAGAAGTGTTTATGGTGGGTCGCTCCCAAGTTGAGATTTTTGGAGCTGATGTTAACGCTTTCGAGCAGGGGTCTGCAAACTTGGCAACTTGTGATCTGGTGGGACTTCAGCTCCCAGAATTCCTCAGCCAGCCATGGGAGTTGAAGTCCACAAGTCATAAAATTGCCAAATTTGGAGACCTCTGCTTTTGAGGATGGCTGTCTGAACTAGGCACCACCGCTCTCATTTTTACACTAACCCACAACTTTCTGGTAGGTATGAATTGACCTTGGGGGAACTGTGAATGGTTCCAATTGTAGCCAGTTCAATGCCAGATAGGGTTAAACTATGGTTTGCTCAGCTCTCCGCATTCACCTTTCTTGATTCAGCTGAACTGAGGGTTGAGTTGTGCAACATTTGCCAGTATCTCCGGTCCTCCTGAAGCACAGCTGTGGGTTTAATAGCCAGCCATCTTGAAACCCCCAGATTCAGAGAAGATGGCTCAGTACCTGGAGGAAGAACGTCACATGCGAGAGGAGAACCTGAGGCTCCAACGGAAGCTGCAGCGGGAGATGGAGCGAAGGGAAGCCTTGTGCCGGCAGCTGTCTGAAAGTGAATCCAGTCTGGAAATGGACGATGAAAGGTTTGGGCTTAGATTATCCTGGCTTTCAGAGTTTTGTATAAGAATACTACTACTACTACTACTAATAATAATAATAATAAAGTTGGAAGGGACCTTGGAGGTCATCTACTCCAAGCCTCTGTTCAGGCAGGAAACCCTATACCAGGGGTAGGCAACCTTGGCTCTTTTATGACTCATGGACTTCAACTCCCAGAATTCCTGAGTCAGCATGGCTGACTCAGGAATTCTGGGAGTTGAAGTCCATGAGTCATAAAAGAGCCGAGGTTGCCTGCCCCTGCCCTATACCAATGGTGGCAAACCTATGGCACGCGTGCCAGAGGTGGCACTCAGAGCCCTCTCTGTGGGCACCCGCGCCGTGCCCCGGAGATGGCAACCGTCCCTCTTCAACCAGCCGCCCACTAACTCGCCAAGGTCCCATGTCGCTGGATGCATCCCAGCACCCATGCGCTTGCTGGCCTCTGTGTGCGGGGGCCGATGATGTCAGGCAGCAGCCGCCCCGGCCCCTGCCTCACCTTGCCCTGTGACAATGGCACCCCCGCCCTGCCTCGCCTCGCCTCACCCTGCAGGATGAGCCTCCTGCCCACCGCCCCACCTGCCAGTGACCCCCTGGATCTCCCCCAATCCTGCCTGGCCCCCACAGGTGTCCCTCCTCACGAGCAACATTGAGGTGATCACACCCACCTTGGCCACACCCACCAAGTCTGCCATGACCACAGCCATGCCCACCTGGCACCCGGCGATAAATAAGTGGGTTTTGGGTTGCAGTTTGGGCACTCGGTCTCTAAAAGGTTCGCCATCACTGCCCTACACCATTTCAGACAAATGGCCGTCCAGTCTCTTCTTAAAAACTTCCAGTGTTGGAGCATTCACCGCTTCTGGAGGCAGGTTGTTCCACTGGTTAATTGTTCTCACTGTCAGGAAGTTTCTCCTTAGTGCTAGGTTGCTTCTCTCCTTGATTAGTTTTCATCTGTTGCTTCTTGTCCTGCCTTCAGGCGCTTTGGAGGATAGCTTGACTCCCTCTTCTTTGGGGCAGCCCCTGAGATATTGGAAGACTGCTTTCATGTCACCCTCTTAGTCCGTCTCTTCGTTAAACTAGACATACCCAATTCCAGTTCAGGGATCTGGGGCTGCAGACTGGAAGCAGACATTTCCCAGTCTGTCACTTTCTCTTCTGCAATTGACAGCACGCCTTGCCTTGGACCTAACCTGAGGCCAGGGGTCACTCCAGGCCTCTGCAAGGACAGGACAGGGGCAGCCTCGGAAACAGGGGGTGATGTTTCAGAACCATTTGGGCAGGCGGGCCCGGACGCAGCCCGGTGGCCCCCTCCTGGCTTTCTCATACCACAGAGGCATTTCTAAAGAAAGCAGCATTTCAGTCCTTCTGCCCAGAGGGCAAGGCCTGCTGTGTGGCTGGGGATTCTCCTGCCGCTTGATCTGTGTGGCTCTTGTTAATTTTGAGGAGTCCTTCTGGTATCTGGAGCCTACTAGCTTTCCTGGTTTGAAGGGTTGACATTCCAGCGTTACTTAGTTGCTTTGAAGTTAGCACTGCCGTGCAGTTCTGCTAGGCACAACGGCCAGCCTGCGAGTTTGAATGGATCACTCCGTTAAATCTGCAGAGAATTCCTCCGAAGAGGAGACAACTCTCTTTGAAGATGGTCGGGTGAGTTGTGGTTGGCAGGACCAGGAGAGAGTCTGCAAGATCCCAAGTTTTGGAAATGAGCTTTGTCATACCCATACCCGTTAACACATTTGTGTCACGGCGGTCGTGTAAAACATTGAACATGCTTTAAAACAGTGATGGTGAACCTTTTAGAGACCGAGTGCCCAAACTGCAACCCAAAACCCACTTATGCATCGTCGAGTGCCCCGTGGGTGTGGTCCATTGGCTGGGCGTGGCCCATTGGGTGGGCATGGCTGCGGTGGTAACGGCAGACTGGGTGGGACTAAAACGTTCAATCAATCAATTCCAACTTTACAAGACCTTTTCTTTTCCTGCGAGACGTTGAAATTGACTGATTGATTGAACCTTTTTTTTTTTTTTTTGCACACAGCGGCGGAGGCCTAAAGCAAAAAAGTTTTTATAAAACCCAGCTGAAGGCCTAGGACTGGGGCGACGGCGCGCGTGCCCACAGAGAGGGCTCTGAGGGCCGCCTCTGGCACCCGTGCCATAGCTTCGCCACCACTGCTTTAAAATATCAGCTTTGTTATTAGAATCAACCTTGTGAATGATTAAAAAACGTTCTCACTTAGTCAGTTGTGCTAACTTTGTTGCGATGTTCCTCTACTATCTTAGCAAAGCATCCGGAAAAACAAGGAGAAAAAAAAAGCCTTAAAGTAAGGAAATAGATTTGTGGCAAATGAGAATGAACTGATCTCTTATCTCTTAGATACTTTAACGAAATGTCTGCACAAGGATTAAGACCTCGCACTGTGTCAAGTCCGATCCCGTACACACCTTCTCCAAGTTCTAGCAGGCCCATCTCACCAGGTAAGAAATAAGGATCATTCGGCGTTTTTGCCTTTGGGACACACGTCTCTTGCTTGGGTGTGTAGTTAATCTTCCACTAGAACCAGTGAGTGGAAGCTCTTCAGCCTTTGGGAAGTTAAAGCAGATGCATTATATTGAAATCTGGGTATGTAATTAGCCAACAAACAGAGCCCAGGCATTTTTAATTCAGGGATTTATTGGAAACCACAAACCCTTGTTAAACTTTACGTAACTCAGGAAGAGATTTTATAGTTTTTCCACATGTTTTTTTTTATATCCTTTCTCAGTCTCAGATATTTTTTTTTAAAAAAAAACCGTTTCATTTTATTCAGATTTTATCTCTCAGCCACTCCTAGCGTTAAATCTCCAATTCAGACAGGGGTCATTTTATTTCCTGCTTCGGAGCTTCTGGGTGGGGGCAAATTATACATTTATGCGCTTAAAGGACGTCACCCTTTTTGGCCTGACCAGGAAGCCCCAGTGACCTTGTCAACAAAATTGCAGATCTCTTAACCTGCCTTTCCTTCTTCCTCTTGGACGGGATGTTAACTGCCGCTCACTCGTTCGTGATGCCTTCCCTCGCTTTTCTTCCTGGTTGCAGGTCTCTCGTACGCAAGTCACACCGTTGGGTTCACTCCCCCAACTTCACTCACCAGAGCTGGCATGTCCTACTATAACTCTCCTGGCCTTCACGTGCAGCATATGGGACCGTCCCACAGCATTACGGTGAGTCTCTGCAGCAGGGGTCTTCAATCTTGGCCACATGAAGATCTATGGACTTATAATTCCCAGAATGGCCGAGCAATTCTGTGAGTTGAAGTCCATGTGTCTTAAAGTTGCCATGGTTGGAGACCCCTGCTCTGTCGCTCTCTAATCCTGGGGCTTGCTGCTTCCTGGTTTCTGCAGACTGAGATGCTACGAAGCCCATGTTTCTCTTTTTACACTAGTTCAGGGGTAGGCCACCTTGGCTCTTTTATGACACGTGGACTTCAACTCCCAGAATTCCTGAGCCAGCATGGCTCAGCTTGGAAACCTCTCCCTTTCCCCTCAGTGTGGCTGACTCAGGAATCCTGGGAGTTGAAGTCCACGAGTCATAAAAGCCAAGGTGGCCTACCCCTGCACTAGAGCAATATTTCTTGAACTTGGCAACTTGATGTTGGGTGGATTTCAGCTCACAAAGGCTGAGGGGTTCTGGGAATTGGAATCCACACATCTGAAAGTTTGAGAAACGCTGCTTCTCGTTAGCACCCTCTCCAGAACAAAAGGTCAAGGAGTTTCCAGAGCATGAAGAGCTGTAAATATCTGCCAGTCTATAAAACACCCAGACCATAAAGAACACAAACTGCAAAGTTGATTTCTTTCCTTGCCTCCTCTCCTTGACCGAGGAATCATCCTGGGCCGATTCAGGCTCAGAGCCAACCGTCGGTTCATCCTCACAAATGGCATCTTCCAGTGTTTCAGTCTCTTTTGTTAGTTTATTAAGCTTTCACCGTCCAGTTTTCTAAAATCACAAAAAAAAAGACATCAGGACTACTTTTGGCTGCTGCAACGGACGAGGGGTTGTTTTTTACTCGGCAAATAATTTTGAATTGGGGCAACATTTTGGGTTCAGCAAAGGCTGGAAGCCTTGTCAACAGCGACCTACCCGATTAACTAACATCCCAATACGTTTTGGGTGGAAGGCCTGACCCCTTCCCCCTCCACGTGTGATCAACCCTAGCACCCTCGCCTCCAGCCCTTCCGGAATGGAAGCCCATCTCCTCCGGAGGCCACAGGATGGCACAGAGGAGGAGATAAACATAGAAGTGTTCTCCACCCTTGCTCTACAGCAGGGCTTTTCAACCAGTGGCACCTGTGGTACATTGGCACCTGGCAGGTGGTACGTGAACATCCTAGAAAAGTGGTAGTGGGGGAGGGGAATGAGCTGAACCGGTGGCAGCACCGCACAAGCCCGAGCGAGAGATGGCTGGAGCTGCAGGGCTGTCAGGGCTCAGTGGAAGCGCCAGGATCAGCACCAGGCTCCAGCTGGAGCTCGGCGCTGATCCTGGTGCTTCTGCTGAGCCCAGAAGAAGCACCGATCAGCTGGAATGATGCAGCCTCTCCAGGATCTTGTGATTTACATTCAGATGCCTGGCAACTGATTCATATTTATGACGGTCACAGTGTCCCAGGGTCATGTGAAGTGACCAAAACCTGCTGCAACCACCCAGCAGATGGGGGGAATAAAAACCAAACACCCCCCCACCCCCTGCCAATCCTCAACAGAAATGCTCACAACCATGAAAACCTCGGACAGGAGGAAGAGCGCCGCCGGGCACTGTCTTGCTTGGCTGTGGCTTGGGGGGCACTTTTTTCAGTGCCATTGTACCTTCGAACAGTCACTAAGCGAACTGTTGTAAGTCGAGGACTACCTGTTACTTTATCACTTTTTTCCTTTTTTTGGGGGGGGGGTCATCAAGTTTTTGACCCCTTGCTAGGCGACTGGTGGTACTCAGATGTTGCCATATCCTAAAAGTGGTACAATGGGTGAAAAGGTTGAAAAGCCCTGCTCTACAGAGGCGAGGCTTAAGGAGTGCTCCGGCCAAATTTTGGGTGCAGGGAACATGGCAGAAAGCCATAGCTGTAGATGTAGCATGGGACCAGGGTCAGGGAGCTGTCATGGGCACAGATGGAAAATGTGTGTATTGCCCCCTCTAAAAGAAGCGACAAATGCAGCAAGACTGGCCTGACCATGTTCAGGCTTCCCTCCCCCCCCCCCTGGTGGAAGCATCTCCTTCTCCTCGCTGCTGGGGGTGAGCCTCGGAGAAGAGCAGCCCTGCCAGGAGTCCTGGTTGGTCCTAGCTCTCCCAGCAGCTCAATTGTGCCAGCATGAGGGCCTTTCTCCGATTCTGCTCTTGGCTGTCCTGATCCCAGTGTCATGTGTCTGATTAACGAAACACTTAAAAGGACTTTCAGGTATATTTTTCCTAAAAGCCTTTATTAAGGTTACAGAGACGTCAGTACGGCATGGTAGAAATGCTTAGATCTGAGATTCTTTTCCGTTGCACCTACATTCCAGGCATTTTTCCCGCCCCTATTTTGGGGTCATGGTTCACATCTTCCAATTAACATGGAAGATGTGATTTACTTCCAGTTTCTTTTTCCCGGGCTTTCCTTATTCTCCTCCCCTTTCACTGTTGCCTGATTTAACTATAAAAATACCAGACAGTTCTGCATATTGTCAAAGCAAGAATATACAGTGTTTGCAGCGTTGACACCCAGCCCTTGTTTTTTTTTTCCCTCCTGCAGAGGCCTTTGCCGCGAAGAAGCAACAGCCCGGACAAGTTCAAGCGCCCCACGCCCCCTCCCTCTCCGAACACGCAGACCCCGCTGCCGTCGGCGCCCCCACCTCCCCCTCCGCCTCCCCAGCTGGCTCCTTTCCAGCCCTCCACTCAGCCTTAGTGCCCCGGCCAACGATCCTGCCTTCAGAGTTGGACTCATCCTCCCCCACCCCTCCGGAGCAGTTTACTACAAGCCAAAGGCTTACCGCGGTCAATTGGGAGTTGACTGACTTGCACTGAGATTGTCGAGGCTTCACCGTTTCATTGTGTCCTACCAGTTTTTGCCCAAGGACCTCCTCTGGCATTAGCGCGCGGCCCGCCTCCAAGGTGCTCCCTTCCAGGGAGGCAGGTGGATGGCGGCACCTGGGCATCCCCCACCACCTGGGGGGGGAGCTCCCCTCCGTGCAGGAAGCGCCCTCTCTCGGTTTCTCCAGAAGGCAGCCCATCGGGGTGAGATCCGCAACATCCACCTGAAGCGAGGCAACCCAAACCCATCAGTGTTGACACGGGAACATCCATCTCTGCGCCCGCCGCGGCTGGCACACCAGTGCTGGTGTTCAGTATATCGCGGCCTCCTGTTTTGCCGAGCTCCCCGTCCAGCCTCTCTTTTATCCCCCCTCCTTCCCCCCGTCCACCCCCTCTCGCTTCCTCCTCTCCGAGATTCAAAAGGGATCGTTCACAACATCTTGCATTCTGCGACTTAAGGCACGGGCTGTACATTGCAAGCTCTCCCAGGTATGGCGATGTGTTTCCAGCGTACGCCGCCAATCGGCTCTACATTGCAGTACGGCTTTTTAGCGCAAAAAAGCGGATAGCCCGACCGACACCTTATCTCTCGAATTGTGTCCCTTAATTTCCAGACTTCAAGTAAAGCATACACGCTCAGCCCCCCCGCGCCCCCCCCGTTTATCCAGTGTGTTGGTACTGTCTTAAATGTCAGACCCCGTAAGACGTATGGATCTCCCTCCCTCTTCCCGTTTCCTCCTTCCCTCCTTCCTTTCTCTCCTTCCCATTTCCTCCCATCCTCCCTCCCTTGTAAAGCCCGTCCCGCTGCTTTGTTATAATGCTTGGGGCTGTCTACAGCTTCTTCTCTCTGATTTTTCTGCTGTAGGAACGCAGTTTTTATGAAAAGCAAAAAAAGAAAAAAGAAAGCCTGATTTTCTCCCCCCCCCCCCCCTGTTTAAAAATATTTTAATGGTGTGGCCCTTCCTCTCCGAAAGTTTAAACCGCGATATTAGGCTTTTGGAAGAAAAGAGAAGAAAGAAGAAGAAAAAAAAATAAAAACCACAGATGGGAGGTGCTCCTTTATAGCAGCATATGGTAAACAGCCAAAAGTGTTGTATTGCTTGAGTAGAAAAGGATCAAGAGAAAGTTAGGTGACAATAGCAAATGGCGTATTTAGCAGCATAAGCCGGTACAATGTATAAAGAAGTGTATTCTGGAATACATTCTTTCAATTCATTTAGCACAAATAAATGGTTTGTTTCACTTGGCGGTGGAACGAAGTCTCTTTTTCCCCCTTTACTTGAGGTTTGTGCTTGCTGTCTTTGGAAAAGTCCCCTTACACAGGTGTTTAAGAGAGTACGAAACAGGAGACAGTTAACTGTATTTTTTGTCGTACCTAAGCCTAGGCTTTAAAAAAACAATCTGACTCGCCACATTTGCACGGTTTCATGTTTTCCTTTATGAAATGGACATTAAGACACTGAAGGCGTAATCCCTTCAAATGCTTTGAGCACCGCAGCTACTTCTTAATTTTTGTTGGAAAGTCTGGAGCACAGGTTTAAAGGTTTCCCCCTGCCTAGTCGTGAACGACACAAGGGGTGTGTATGTGTGCTCCTCTCTAATTTTCAGCCGACGAAGCCTGCGTTGTCTGAGAGATGCTTCTGTTCATCCTGTGGCCAGCATGAAGCTGGTACCTTTTAGCTCAGGGCTTTTCAACCAGTGGTACGGGTACCACCTGTGGTACATGGGCACCTGGCAGGTGGTACGTGACCATCCTAGAAAAGTGGTAGCGGGGGAGGGGAATGAGCTGAACTGGTGGCAGCACCGCACAAGCCTGAGCGAGAGACGGCTGGAGCTGCAGGGCTGTCAGGGCTCAGCGGAAGCGCCAGGATCAGCGCCAGGCTCCAGCTGGAACTCAGCACTGATCCTGGTGCTTCTGCTGAGCCCAGAAGAAGCGCCAATCAGCTGGAATGTTGCAGCCTCTCCAGGGTCTTGTGATTTACATTCAGATGTTTGTCATCTGATTCATATTTATGACGGTCACAGTGTCCCAGGGTCATGTGAAGTGACCAAAACCTGCTGCAACCACCCAGCAGATGGGGGGGGGGGATAAAAACCAAACACGCCCCCACCCCACCCCTGCTGCCAGTTCTCAACAGAAATGCTCACAACAATGAAAACCTCAGACAGGAGGAAGAGCGCCGCCGGGCACTGTCTTGCTCGGCTGTGGCTTGGGAGGCACTTTTTTCAGTGCCATTGTAACTTCAAACAGTCACTAAGCGAACTGTTGTAAGTCGAGGACTACCTGTATTTTTTTCCTTTTTTTTTTTTGGTCATCAAGTTTTTGACCCCTTGCTAGGCGACTGGTGGTACTCGGATGTTGCCATATCCTAAAAGTGGTACAATGGGTGAAAAGCCCTGGATTAGCTGAAGTGTTACCTTATTTAGCTACTCAACATTTGCATGCTTTCAAGCCGTTCTATTGGCAGGAGCTGGGGTTAGGGTTAGGGTGCTCACCCCATCACGCAGCACTCGGGACTCAAACCCAGGCTGATAAGCCCAGGATTTTAACCAAGTTGGGCTGCTTCAGCATTTCTGGTGACTGTGACTTTTAGAGGCAGAAACTTAACTTGTATTTAAAGTATTTGGGGGGGGGGCACCTTAAGGGGCCAGGCTTGGGTTTGATTTGTGCAGTGTTTGAAATAGTTACCCTAACATACTGCCATTCCTGGGCAAATATATATACATCCTAAAATAAGTCTTTAATGCCTGAAAATCGGTGCGTGGTTCTCTTCCCCCTCCCAACACTACAAGATTAAAAAAACCATAAAAAGTCTAGCATGTGTTCCAAAGTCACTTTCAGATTGTCAAGCATACGTGAATCCAACACCTGGGGGAAGGGGCAATGCTAGAAAGTGTGGCTTCTGAAAGTCAAGAGATTGTGCGGAGGAATCGGAGGAAGACAATTTGTGATGTGTAAATGCCAAAGCAGGGAGACGGACATCTTGGCTCGGACGTAACGCTGGACTTCTGCTTTGGTTGGCTGGTTGGTTATTTTAGTTGTTGTGGCTGGTGGGCAAAATTAGGGACCTGCTGGTGGGCAAGCCGATGATCCCCTTTGAGATGGGTGAGCCTGGCTTAGTCCTCCAGGTTTCTGCATGGCCACCTGCAAGCAAAAAAGTAGATCCTGGTAAGCTAAGAGATAATTGTGGGTCCAATCAAACAATTTTTCCCCCATGCGGTATTAAGGTGGGGTCCATTCACTGGGCTGCTGAAATAAAAACAAGACGAGAGCGAATGCTTGCCTCCAGGAGTGCCACAGGAGTGTCAAAAAAAGGTGTTACACAACATTAAATTTCCTCCTTAAAGCGGCAACCACAAACCCTTGTCTTTTTTTAACCTCGCCTCCGAGCCGTTTCTGCTCCTGCAATGAGAATCATCAGAGTATCTTGCGTGCTTTTTTTTTTTTTTTACAGGAGAATTCGATGGCACGGAAAAGCCTTTGGGGAAAATGAATTGGCTCTGTGTATCGTGCAGAGGATTAATTCTGTGGCTTAAAATTTTGGGCCAAAGTCCAAGTAGCCATTAGCGTTTGTAACCTTCTCTGTTTGGCTTGGGCCTTTCTGCCGTCATCTCCAAGACTTCCCTGTTCTCAACGTTTGGAGTAGGGGGCTCTCTAAAAAAGGAACTTTCTTGAGAAGGCCCTCCACCCACTCCTTCCTTTGGAGTCCCAGAGCTGTGGATGGTGTTAATCATAATAATAATAAAGTTGGAAGGGACCTTGGAGGTCATCTAGTCCAACCCCCTGCTCAGGCAGGAAACCCTACACCATTTCGGACAGATGGCTGTCCAGTCTCTTCTTAAAAACTTCCAGTGTTGGAGCATTCACCGCTTCTGGAGGTAGGTTGTTCCACTGGTTAATTGCTCTAACTGTCAGGAAGTTTCTCCTTAGTTCTAGATTGCTTCTCTCCTTGATGAGTTTCCATCCGTTGCTTCTTGTCCTGCCTTCAGGTGCTTTGGAGAATAGCTTGACTCCCTCTTCTTTGGGGCAGCCCCTGAGATACTGGAACACTGCTATCATGTCCCCCCTCGTCCTTCTCTTCATTAAACTAGACATACCCAATTCCAGCAACCGTTCCTTATATGTTTTAGCCTCCAGTCCCCTAATCATCTTTGTTGCTCTTCTCTGCACTCTTTCTAGAGTCTCAACATCTTTTTCACATCGTGGTGACCAAAACTGGATGCAGTATTCCAAGTGTGGCCTTACCAAGGCCTTGTAAAGTGGTATTAACACTTTGCGTGATCTTGATTCTATCCCTCTGTTAATGCAGCCCAACACTGTGTTGGCCTTTTTGGCAGCTGCAGCACATGGCTGGCTCATATCTAAGTGATTGTCCACTAGGACTCTGAGATCCCTCTCACAGTTACTACTATTGAGCAAGGTACCCCCTATACTATACCTGTACATTTGTTTTTTCTTGCCTACATGTAGAACCTTGCTTTTTTCACCATTGAATTTCATTTTGTTAGATAGCGCCCAATGTTCACGTCTGTCCAGGTCCTCCTGTATCTTAAGCCTGTCTTCTGGAGTGTTGGCTATTCCTGCCAGCTTGGATGTGTGGATGGTGACTGCCTCCAGCAAGGCTAGTGAACCTGCATCCTTGGAGTTACCCTGTGCCCGTCACCACTTCAGTTGCTGTGCTGAAGGGTCAAGTCCTTGGAGAGGGGCAGGGGCTGTTTGAATCATGAAACCCAAGACCAAACCCTTCATTTAATATAACCCAAATAGGTGGATCCTGGGCCAGAAGTGATGAGCCTTATCGTTCCTTGGTGTTTTCCAAGAAGCTGCAGATAACACAGCTTCGTTTGGTTGCCCTCGTTTGGCCAACCAGATTT